AGAATCGCGAGTAAGAAACACAAACGAGAAAGAAAAAAAATGTCAATTCTAATAACTCGAACTATTGTTCTGCAAATGATAGTCTATCAGTTATTATATGAGTCTGTCGTTTTCATTATAAATCAATGGTTTTTTTACTATTAATTACTAGAATTCAAATGGAAATTGTTTTACCGTTCAATAATGTTGAAAAGTGCATATTTCTAAATCGTGAACAAATCGTTTCTCTTAATAACTCAAAATATGTAGAAGATGTCAGGTTCATATTTTAAGTTACCTCCATCCTGGTATATAGATTTGTCGAGCAATCTGTACAATAAGAGTACCCATTTCTCTTAACAATTCGAATATTCTTGCCCCTTCTTTGTAACTACTTCCGAATGCTGTTCTGGAAATTACATCGCAAGTCATATTCTGTAAATAAGGCCACACATCTAATTCACAACTGATTCCCTCAGATTTCACCACCTTCTCCCACTCATCAACAATCTCTTTGCAGCTTGTATAGAACACTGGCACCATCAACTGTAAACAAAAAAAAAAAAAAAGTATCAAAAGAAATAAAATAAATTGAGTTACTGCTTGTCCGATACTAATAGCAGAAAAAAGTCAAATGTTTGGTATCAATCCATTTAACAGATGTTGGTAGTTAATTTGCTTTCCTCTAGAAAAAAAGAAAAGAATATCCAGATGTGGGACTCATAGTCTCTGATGAAATCTAGCAAAGAATATAGTTTTAACTTTGTGTTATAAGAAAATGTATGAATGAGCTTCTATTAAACTGTTCCTTTTCAGTTAATAAAATTCGTCGTCCTTATTAAAAAAAAAAAAAAAATCATCCAAATGAATCCCTTATCCGTTCGGCTGACAATTGGACATAATTCATATACAACTGTTAAGTGGTGGCAATTTTATAAATGAGTGGAGACAATTAATCCAAAATACCCGATGTAGTAATTGTTAAAATAAATTAAAATGAGTATATATATATTAAACGTCCAAATCGAGTGACATATTTGCTGATGAAAATCAAAAAGATTAAACAACACTAATTAAAGAAAATGATTTCCTGACCTTCAACTTCTCCTGATGGAACGCAGGGTTGAGAATCTTCCTGTGATGTGCCCATTTATCGCCGTTGTAGCTTGCAACTCCCCTAGCTAACAGCCTCGTCAATGGGTTGGGATTCCTCGCCTTTGGATACTCATAAACTTTTGTGAGCACTTCTTTTATGTGTTCCGGGTTCATGAGGTGCACCCTTGGCACCGGTCCGAACCATGTGAACGATTTCTTTCCTATAAAACGACCACAGTACGTATAAGAATGAAATTTGAACCTCTCTCTAAACAATTGAAATTATCGGGCGGCGAGAAGAGAGAGATACCGTATTTGTTGATGGTGTGGTAAGGGAAGGGGAAGACACGAAGGGCAGCATCCTCGGTGATGTCCATCTGCCTCGATTTGGCTTCTTTCAGCATCTCAAGTGCTTCCTTCATATCTCCTTTAAGAAACCGATACGGCCGGCCGTCGAAGCCTTGGTTTCTCAGGCGGTTCTCCAGCCGCTTGGGTTTGAACCAAAGCCAGTTCATCATCCGCCATAGCCATGCCGTCGCCGCCGCCACCACCACAGCCACAACTACCGATGACTTGCTAAGAGTTTCCATTTAAGAGCAGACCAGTGAGAGATATAATTATAATAATAACGACACTTGCAGGAGAGTTGGGAGATGTTTATAAAGGCCCCGCCAAGCCTGCAGATGACATATACCCTGACGCCATACCGTTCCTTGCCGCCTATTGTCGTCCAAGTGTCGGCTAATTCATCCAAAATTAGTGGGACCTACACACAATTTTGTTGTAATTATTGTTACATACTAGACAGTAGTGTATTTTGATATTATACAAAATCTTGTAATCTAGACCATACTGTATATATATGTTAATCAAACGACGAGGTTAATTATTAGTTTCTGGCAGTTTGTTGGCGTAAGTATTGAAGCTTACCTGTCTCTCTTTCGGTCTCTACCATGTTCTCTGCTTGGCAGTTAGCTTCCTATCCTTTTCATCCACAAGCATTTTTTTTTTTTTTTTTAGTAATATATAGTTGTCAACGTTTATGGCATATTTATTAATGCAATGTGTTAATTTCCACACCAAGCCGGCCGGCCAGCTTATGCTCGGACGGTTTTGGAGCATATATAAATGGCATGGGCTTTGACAAGCACCTTTGGGGACCACATTTGACATCATATGTATATTATTAATTAAGTTATTAAGCTTTCTTACAGGGAAAATGTTTGATTGATTTGGATCATCCAAAGATGTTTTCCCACAATACATTATGGTAGAATTTGTGGATGTGGGAGGTAAGGGCCTATTTCATATGTACAGGAATTTGTTGATACGGTGGTAGAAATTTATGGATTTCTCGTATTCACGTTTTAGTAATTCTCAAATTTATCAAATTTAGATATAATATTGTCAACAATTAATTAATATAAAAAACTCGAATTGTTGAGAGATGTTCAATAATGAATCATTGTAACATTTACTAACAAATATTCGATGTAGTTTGAATTTTTTTTTTCAAGCTATGAGAATACATCATGAGTTAATGTAAACATTAGTAAAATCAATGAGAATAATTGATGAGCTTGTACAACCTTAACCATATATATATTTTTTGTGTAATGATACATGTTAGGAGATGATACGCCATTATTATCGTTGCTAAATCAGTATCGATCAATTTATAAATCCAACAAATGATTTGTATTTTGTAGAGGTGTATCACGTTTGCAAGGAGAATCCAAGAAAGCAACAAAGGAAACTGTATTGGGCCATAGTGCCAGCTGCCGCGGGCAGTTCGTGGACCCAGATCGGTCCACTTAGTCACCTCTTTTACTTGTTTTAGCCCATTATTTGTTACTCATCTGTTTGCTTGCTACTATTGGGCTCCAGATCCAGATTATATAAATCGAGTTCACATATAACTCGGCCGTACGTTAACTACCAACCAAACCCAACTCGGTTTACAAAGATCCAAAACAAGGTTACTTACAGAGGAATAAAGTCTTGTACATTTGTACATGTTCATTTTCCATTCGTCAGTATAATACCAAAACTCGAACCCTTTCTAAGACCCAAAATGCAGCTAGTTTATAACATGGTGGTCTAACCGATAAAACCAAGATATACCATGGACCAACCCTATTACAATTCATCAGTTCTATAACAAGGTTATAACAAATTTTTCATATCAATATCATATCATTGTCGTCACCAAATCACTCACCAATCTCGAAATTAAGTAGTTGAATCGTGTTAATCACCACCAATTACAATCGAAATGGGGGAAGGAAGGAGCCAGCAGCCACAGCAACCGCCACCGCCATCGCCACCACAGGCAGCTGTGCTTTCAGTCATGGTTGAACCATATGCTCCTTATCAACAACAACACCACCCCGCGCCTCATTGTTATGGCGATCATCATCACCAACAAATCAACATGCCAAATGCATTTGCTTATGGTGCACCTGCAACACCGTATCCTGGACATCCACGTCAAATGATGAACTCGTCTGTTACCGTCAATTATCCCGTTGTTGAAGCAGAGCCTTTGGTTGTCGACCGATTGCCTTGTTGTGGAATCGGTATTGGCTGGTTCTTGTAAGTCAACGTTCTTTAACCTTTGTTTATCTTCTTCGTAATAAGGTCAATCTCTAGGGTTATTGAAAGTTAAACAATAACTAACTAGAACCACTAGAACAAAAAAACATACTTGTTGCGACCAGAAAAATGGTTGCAGAAAGTTCTCGTTGATACATCTGGTGATCATAAAAAGAGACTAGTGGTTGCGGCATGGGCAGTAAAATCTGTACATATGTAAATTCCAATTCATGTTATTTAAATTCAACTCATAACAATTTCATTAATAATAAAATAACTAGGTGAGTGAGTTATATAATATGATCATGGTAAACCCTTTCGCTGATAAATTATTGACTTGACCGTAATAGGTGACAACTTGGTTGACCACCTAAAACATTTTTCTCATTATGCACGTTGGGATAATAAAGAGACAATGATAAAATTTGCTTGTAATAATTAAGGTCATTATGTAAAACTAATGTTGATTTAATGTGATTTGTGATATAAGGTTCATATTGGGATTCTTCTTTGTCTTTCCATGGTATATTGGAGTTGGGTTCTTATTATGTTCCAAATACGACAACCGCGAGAAGCCCGGATACATTGCCTGCGTTGTTCTTGTATGTTTTCTTTTCCCTCTTGTTTCTACTGCAAAAAAAAATTACTATGTACAAGTCATATATCTTCTGCGTAGAAGTCATTTCTTTTTTGTTTATTATTTTCTAATTACAACGCAAACTCATTGATATGTTCTTTTGCAGGCTGTAATTTTCCTTATTTTGGCGGTTTTTGACGCAACAAGGCCGGTTCATTACGCACAGATGTAATCGAAGTCCAGCCAAATAAATTACATGACACTAAGCGCGGAAGCTATTGTTCACCACTTCACCTTTTTTTTTATATGCACCACTTCACCTTTGGAATTGCTCAGTCATGTGTTTGTTGGGTAGCTAGGTATTGATTAATAATTAATTGTGCTCCATTGTGTAATTAGCCATTCGGTTATTTTGTAAAATGAGGGTTTGTGTGGCGTGTGTATAGCATATAGTTAATCCTTATTCTTGAGTCGGGGTTAACTTTAAGTCATCTAACCAAATAATGTAGACAATCGAGTACTCTCAAATGAAAAAAAAAATCTTTAAAAGATTAAATTCTGCATCATTAATTTCTCATTTTTTTCATTATAATCTGGTACAGATTAAAGGTGACCGGTTCTGTAATAACCAACAAAACGTGGGAATTCCTTGTGATCTCTGAAGGGACAACAAGTTTGTTTCAAAGTAATGTATTGCTCACATGCATACAAAAGAAGCTAATTATACAATAAGGATGATCCACTGTTTTTCTGTTCAGAGCTTATGAAGGATGAGTCGAGCACCGAATTGTGGCCGGAGTGTAACGGCCTCTGCGGAAGGAGCATGGACATATGACGGTGAAAGCTCGAAGGAAAACCTTTTAAGTATGATTGCCAAAGCCATCTTAGCTTCCATAAGAGCGAAACTCTGGCCAATGCAAATCCGAGGACCCCCTGAAAAGGGAAAAAAGTATGCACCCTGTTGATTGTGGTTCTTCGTCGCCTTAGAAACTCCATCGGAAAATCTCTCTGGATTGAACTCCCCCGCGTCTTTCCCCCAGATCTCGGGGTCCTTGTGGATGAGGATCGCTGGTAGGGCCACCTGAGTTCCTGCAGGCAGAATGAAATCGCCGAGCTCCGTATCTCTCTCGATAATCCGAATCAACTGCGTTACTGGGGGATACAGTCGGAGAACCTCATTTAGGATCATGGTCATGGTCTTAAGCTGGCTGAGACTGCCCGAGTCGAGTGTGGTGGAGTCGATGCCATGTTTTGTGCCAAAGACGTGCAAGACCTCTTGTCTTGCTCTTTCTTGCCACGCTGGGTACTTGCTGAGAAGGATCATTGTCCAAACCAGTAGTGAGGAGGTAGTCTCTTGCCCAGCCAAATAAAACAACTTACATTCCTCAATCACTTCCTCTACTGTCATATTTCCGTCTTTGTTGTTTGATTCCATCAGAACACCGAGCAAGTCGTTGTTGGCGACATCGTCCATGCCCATTCTCATTGCTTTCTCTCTCTTGTTGATGATCCCCTCCATTAGTTCTTGAATCTCCTTGTGCACTTGTTTCATCCTAGTGTTTGCTTTGGTTGGTACGAACCTGTAGATCGAGCGGAAAGAAACACAAATGGGGAAGAAAAATTGTTAATCCTAATAACTCAAGCTATATATCCTTCTTCAAATGACGGTCTATCAATGTTTATAAAATTAAAGTAGAGCATATTTCATTGTAAATCTTTCAACATTATAAAAAAATACTTGGTTGTAAATCAATAATTTTTTTTTATGGGCTACCGAAATTCAATTGAAGTTGTTTTAGTTCAAAAAAGTTAAAAACACAAAGTTTTAAACCCTGAACAAATCGTTTCTTTGAGTAACTCGAAATATATATGTAGAAAATAACTGTTTCATATTTTTATGTACCTCCATCCTGGTATATAAATTTGTTGGGCAATCTGTACAATAAAAGTGCCCATTTCTGTGATCAATTCGAAAATTCTTGCCCCTTCTTTATAACTGCTTCCAAATGCTGTTCTGGAAATTACATCACAAGTCATGTCCTGTAAATAAGGCCATACATCCAATTCACAAGAGCTGATCATTCCCTCAGATTTCACCACCTTCTCCCACTCATCAACAATATCTTTGCAACTTCTATAGAACGCTGGCACCATCAACTGTGAGTAAAGAGGGAGAAAAAAAGAATGAATGTGTACATTATGAGTAACAAGTCTGGGGTCCTTTTATTGTAAAAAAAAAGTCTGTTACGGATTGTCCGATGCTAATTGCAGAACAAAGTCAAATGTTTGGGTTAATTGCAAGGATGGTCACTGGTTTTACTAAAACCGTTCATGTTTGGTCACTGCAAATATTTAATTCCATTCATGGTCACTAAGATTAGTTCAATAGTTCAAGTTTGGTCACTCTCCGTTAGTCTCCGTTAGTTTTTGCTGATGTGGCAGTCAACTATTATAGTTGACCGTTAAATGAGTGACGTGGCCATTAAAAAAATAAAAAAATAATAAAATATAAATATTTACAATTTTCACCTCATTTTACAACTATTAAAAAATAAAAATAAAAATTACCTTCACAGCGCCGCCGCTTCCCGCTGGCCGAACGAGAATGTCCGCAACCAAATCACCGCCATGGACCCCGGCCCAACCACGAGCTCGAGGACCTGGAATTCGCGCCTCGCCGTGCAAAATTATCACGGCGCCTCTTCCTTTCAATCTCCTCCCCCTCGAAGAGCTTAATTAACCTTAATTATTCCTCAACAATCCCCCCAAATTAAGATTAACAGAGGAAAGACATGTCATTGAGAAGTTCGTGGGAGAGGGGGGAAATCAAAACCCGCGATTTCCCGGGGACTTCAGCCTTTGCCAGTCTCCCGCCGGCGTGTTGTTCAACGGTCAGGGAGGTGAAATTGGGGGACATTCGTCGGCGTCCGTTCGGTGGGTTGGGAGATGGTGGATCTGTAGTCACCACCTCCTCTCGCCGACATGCCATTCAGTGGGTTCAGGGAGATGAGAGAGAGGGTAAATCGGGCGTCGTTTGTCGGCTTCCAGGTTCTCTGTCGCCATCGTCTCCCGCCGGCGTCCGTTCAGTGGTTTCGGAGAGGGAAGAGCAATCGAGAGGGCCGGGCAAGAACCAGTATACTACTTAAAAGAAAGAAAGAAACCATATTCACAGTTTTTCCTACCCGGTGAATTAAAAGAAAGAAAGAAACCATATTCACAGTCTTTCCTCTGTTAATCTTAATTTGGGGGGATTGTTGAGGAATAATTAAGGTTAATTAAGCTCTTCGTAAACCTTGGACAAAACACCGCCTTCTTCCCCATCTCCGCATCCGAGGAATCGCCTCCGTTGAACCACAGAGCTTCCGCTGTACGAACTCCCCAATAACGCCGAGCTGAAATCCCCCCGGAAATCAATCACACTCGACGGCGCCGAGACTCTTCTTGAGCACCGAATTTGATTGTGCTTAGCTGGGGCGAAGATATAGGAACCCTAGGAGGTGCGAATCGAGGGGGATGAGATTGAAAGGAAGAGGCGCCGTAATAATTTTGCACGGCGAGGCGCGAATTCCAGGTCCTCGAGCTCGTGGTTGGGCCGGGGTCCATGGCGGTGATTTGGTTGCGGACATTCTCGTTCGGCCGGCGGGAAGCGGCAGCGCTGTGAAGGTAATTTTTATTTTTATTTTTTAATAGTTGTAAAATGAGGTGGAAATTGTAAATATTTATATTTTATTATTTTATTATTTTTTTAATGGCCACGTCACTCATTTAACGGTCAACTATAATAGTTGACTGCCACATCAGCAAAAACTAACGGAGACTAACGGAGAGTGACCAAACTTGAACTATTGAACTAATCTTAGTGACCATGAATGGAATTAAATATTTGCAGTGACCAAACATGAACGGTTTTAGTAAACCCAGTGACCATCCTTGCAATTAACCCTCAAATGTTTGGTATCAATCCATTTAAGAGCTGTTGGTACTAATTTGCTTTCTTCAAGAATAAAAATAGAATATGCATATGTGGGACCCATAATCTGATGAAATCTGGCAGAGAATATATACTTGTAATTTTTGCGTTATATAAAAAATGTTTCTAAAACCATTCAAATGGATCTCTAATCCAAACAAATGCCAATTGGAACCAAATTCAAATTCAATCCATAAATAAGTAAACTATAGTAAGATAATTTAGCTAAGGTGCTCACACTACCATCATTGAGAAACTTGTCAATATGGTTTGGATTAATCAACATAAACCCACTTTTTCCATCACCATGTATAAATAAAATATTCATCCAAATTAGTACCATTAGCTTGCCAACGCACCTAGATTAAAAACAAAAAGAGTTGTATATATTGTTAGTGTTGTGGTATATGATTTACGATTGAACCTCTCCCAACAACTCGAGTTATTGGGATCAACTGGTTTTTGATATGGTATCAGAGCCTTCTATGACCGAGAGGTCTTGTGTTCGATTCCCGATGACCCCATTTGTTAAGCACATGGTATTTCCTATCTTCAGACCTGTGCAAACTTCAAGCCCTTGTGAGTGGCTTTCGTTTGAGGGGGCGTTACTGGTTCTTGACATATATCTCATAATTAGGTGAAGATATAGACGAGTAGACGACGACTCATCTTAATTTATATATAATCTGAAAAATAACTTGTTTTGGTATCCAATTCCAATCCACATGATTTGTAAATCACCATAACTTATTCGTCTCCATATTCACATGTCATAACTGATCAAAGTTAGGGTTAAAATAAATAAATAATTAAAGTATGCATTAAATGTCCAAATCGAGTGACCTATTTGCTGAAATTGATTTCCTGACCTTCAACTTCTCCTGATGGAACGCAGGGTTGAGAATCCTTCTGTGATGTGTCCATTTCTCGCCATTGTAGCTTGCAACTCCACCGACTAACAGCCTCCTCAGTGGGTTGCTCCTCATCTTTGGGTACTCGTAAACTTTTGCAAACACTTCTTTGATGTGTTCAGGGTTCATGATGTGCACCCTTGGCACTGGTCCGAACCATGTAAACGATTTCTTCCCTACAAAAACAACGCTATAAGATCGATATTTGAACCTCTCTTAACGAACCAACGAGACCGGAGAGAGAGAGGGGTGTAAGATAGATACCGTATTTCTCGACGGTGTGGTAATGGAAGGGTAAGACACAGAGGGCAGCATCGTCGGAGACGTCCAACTGCCTCGACTTTGCTTCTTTCAGCATCTCGACGGCTTCCTTCAGATCGCCGTTCGGAAACCGATACGGCCGGCCGTCGAAGCCTTGGTTTCTCAGGCGATTCTCCAGCTGCTTGGGTTTGAACCAGAGCCAGTTCATCATCCGCCATAGCCATGCCGTCGCCGCTACCACCACCGCCGCCACAACTGCCGATGACTTGCTGAAAGTTTCCATTTAAGAGAAGTGAAGTGAGAGTTAATAATAATTAACGACACTTTGGGAGTTGGAGATGTTTATAAAGAGCCCGCCAAGCCTGCAGATGACGTATAGCAGTGACATAAACCCCTTAATCAAAATGTGTGATATTTAAGTATATATACTAATCACAATAATGCTTATCAAACCGACGACTTATTAGTTTTTTCTACGGTTAGCAGTTAGCCGTTAGCTTTCTATCCTTTTCCTCCACAAGCAAATTATTATTTTTAGTAACAGTCGTCAGCGCGTTTATGGAATGTTTATTTATGCAATGTGTTTAATTTCCACACCCATATCATACCATACCAAGCCGGCCGGCCGGCTTATGCTTGAACGGGTGCACCATCATGCTCATAATTTGATGGGCCAGTTTTTTAGGGACATTTGGGGACTCAATTTTGACATCATATGTACGTCAACCTTTCCTATAGGGCATGTTTGATAATTTTTTCAAAATACAAATGCATGTTTGATGTAAAAAATAATTGAGGGGCACATTTGATAAATCGTCATATTAGAAGGACATATTTTACCTATAACCCTATAATTTAAAATGGACTATCATCAAAGTTATAGGCAGTGTAGTGTGTCAAATGTATACTACAGTCCATTTATATGCAACCTGAATTCAAAACATGCCGTCAATATATATGCAAAGTAAGAATTGATCCACGTTCGCGAGGAGATCTAAGAAAGCAACAAAGGAAATAAGACAACTTTGTTGGGTTGGGCCATAGTGTCAACTACTCTGGGTCGTCGTGGACCCAAATCGGTCCACTAACTAACCTCTTTTAGTTTTTCAGCCCATTATTTGTGACTCAACTATTTGTTACTATTGGGGGCCCGGTCCAGACGGAGTGTCACCAAACACTAATTGATACTGTTGTATTGATTAAAAAAGGTGTAGTGCTCTATTATTTTGATGCAGTTTGCAGACAATGGAAAAAGTATTGGCATACAACTCAAGTCTGAATTTGTTATTTGTTTCTCACCAATATGCAACACAGTTATAGCTTTTGTTTGATTCTTTTTATGACTAAGTGAAGTTTTGTTGTGGTGGTGTCATTATATTGGATTGGTGTCAATAAAATGGTGAAATTACACGTTGTAGAAGTAATGGAACAATAGAAAATGTTGTGAGCATCTGTATAAACCATAGTAAGAAGTAATTTCAAGGGGGTCTGGAGTGTGGACAGTATCATATATAGCTCTATTATTATTTTGATTTGGAGATTGATCATGATTAGCGTCAATGCTCTCCCTTGATTGCTTGTAATATCGCAACAACCGAAACAACAACCGCCTGCATGCACAATGAAATAAGCATCAAATTAAAGCTCTCACTTAACGAGGTTGTTCTATGATATATATTTCAACGAGAAAATAACATAAGAAAAAGGATGTCCGAAACTATACATACAAATGTAGCGCATGCTAGGAGCCCTGCCCTTTCACGGCGGTCGTACCGTCCAAATACGAGAATGAAGAATCCAACAAACCAAGGAATTCCACAAACTATCCATCCGATTACAAACCTTCATAGGCAGAATAGAAGAAGGAAAGATAGTTAAGTGACAATAATAGCAATATATAGGTTCTCTATCTACCTTAAATTTGAATTCTTCTTCCAACACTTTTTTTCCGGTGGAACGAACATAGCATGGTGGTAAAAATTGCGATAGTATAGCTAGGAGGAAGACTCTACAAACTAATTTACTTACAGGAACCAGCCATAACCCATGCCACAACAAGTCCATCTTTCAACTGAAATTTAAGATGAATGGCCAGTGTTGTCAAATTAGATAATAACCTGGATATTCATGAACATAAAAAAAAAAAAAAAAAAAGGAAAGACCGTACAAATGGCTACACTCCAGGATTTTCTCACAAACCCCTATTGCGACCAGTTCACAAAATCGTCACCAGTGAATTGTTGCCGCGGCAGAAACGTGTCATGTTTTAGTGACGCACTCCAATTCTTGAGTTGTATATCTATCACTCCCTCTTTTGATCAAACTTTGAGGCCAATTTTATGTCCACGTGTAATAGATAATTAGTGGATATAGATATTCACCTATGATCACAGCAGTGGTAGTGTGGCCGGCGATCACCGGCGGTGGAGCTTCAGCTGTAGTGACAGCTGGCGGGTTGGTGATTTCAATGTGTACGTTGGTCGTAGTATGTTGCTCTTGAGTCGAATAGTACTGCTGACGACGCTGAGTCGTCGACCCGTGAGGATATACCGGTGGCGGCTCCGTCGTGGTCGTCGTCGGCGGCGGGGACGTTTGGGGATCATAAGGTGGTGCGGACGGCTCGCTACGGCCGCTGCCGGACTTCTGACTCTCGTGATCCATATATTAATATAATCCTCTTTTTTTTTTTCTCTCCCTCTCCGTCTTACCGGAGTATATATTGCTGGCTATATATGATGTCTTATTGGCGCGTTGTTTAACTTACAATGTGTGACAGCTAATTAGCGTGCGACTGATCGAATGTCATAGCAAAATAACTAACAACGTGCCGTCTAGGTACGTTCAGAAGTCAGAAGAGACAAGACAGAAGTAGTTCATTTGACTCCGGCGACGGCGAGTTCGATGTCAAGAGTTTTGATATTCCCGGTTTAGGAGATTCGGGGTGGCCGGCCGTGCAGTTTCCAGGAAATTTGTTTCCATGTCTATTTTCTTTCCCCCAGTATAGAAATGGTTAAGCAAATACATGGGATGAAAATTGTGGCAAAACATGCTTAAAATAATGCATTCAAGTTATGGGATGACAAAAATAACAGTCACATATAGTCCATATGTTGATGAAGAGAGTACTAATTTAGGCAAAGGTTAAAACTTTGTTGTTTAAGCTATAGTTATGGAACAAGTTGGTCTGATCACGCTGGAGGCGGAAAAGAAGTTGGAACCATCACCAGCAATTAATGTCGAAATACTTCATGTATCATAGAGGCAACACAATTAAAATTAATGGTAACGAAATGGTAGCTAGGCTAGCAATCACAAATAATATGTCGTATGAATATGATTTTGAAAATCTAATAAAGATTGTGATAGTCACCAAGTTTTTTTATCAAACGTGCTAGCTAGCAACTCAACCCTTTTTTCTTTGGTGTTCCATCGTTTGCTTGTTACTTAGGTGGGTAATAATAAGAGTTCTTTTTTCGACGTTACTCGTTGAGTTATTATCAAATTACTTTTAGACCCCATAAAAACGATAATGATATTATGATAATAGTTTATACATATCATTTCGAGAAATTAGAAGTTCTAATCTAACTAGAATTTGCTGGTGTACTAAATTTCTACGGACAAAAATTTCACCTTTATTCTCTTTTCCTCTCCTTTAGTTTTCAACTCTCGAATTCCACAATTCAAAAATATACCGAAGTAAAAAAAAAAAAAAAAAAAAAAGGAGCTGCATTGCGATTGCCTCATTTATCCTCCTTTTTCTACTTCTTATTATTCGCAACAAATTATATAAAAAAAACAAAGGGAAAATTAGATTGCACCACCTACATCGGATCGGAGGAAATAAACTGATAATTAATTAACACCCAACCTAATTACAGCAATTTAATACATTCATATACGTTTTTCTCATCGATCTAATTACCGTTACGAACACACATTTATGGGAAGATTATTATATCCCGTAATTAGCTCATCCCATTTACCTTTTCAACCTGTACACATCCATTCGGTATGGAGATCTGGTGAAGATCGATCACAACCAACATTCATTTGAAACCCTCATTATCCTTTCTCCGATCCTTTGATAATATTATCTATTCTCTCTCTATAAAATTTCAGAGCGTTAAGCTATCCAAAAAAAGTGGTTCCAAGCTAGAATACAATACACTATTAATTGTCGTTCGTCGGTCACTTTACGCAGAGAAGTTGTTGATTTCGATATGACGACTCCAGCCTCACAACCGGAGCTCTTTGAGCTCAGCAATGGCTCCATGAAGGTCAAGATCACCAATTTAGGTTGCACCATCACATCCTTGGAAGTTCCTGACAAAAATGGTAACAAAAACCAATTTTTTGTTTTTACTGATTTCCAGGATATTGATAGAATTTTGGTCAATCGTTATTTTGATTTTTCAATCTTGTCTATTTGTGGTGCAGGAAATTTGGCTGATGTTGTTCTAGGATTCGATTCCATTGAGCCATACCAGGTAATCTAGTCATCAATGAGTCATGTCGAGATTTGATGAAATTTCAAACATCTTATGAATGAATGAATGAATCATCTAGTGCGGTAGAATGTCTCATGCTTATGTGGGTATGCAGAAAGGTTTAGCACCATACTTTGGTTGCATAGTGGGGCGAGTAGCAAATAGGATCAAGGACGGCAAATTTAGCTTGGAGGGAGTTGAATACACTCTGCCTCTCAACAGGCCCCCAAACAGCCTCCATGGTAATCATATTGATCCTTAATTAATTTCTTAGTGATAAAATCAATGGGCAGCACCTTAATTATGTGTGTAATCAACCATCAAATCAAGTAATGATGAACAAAATGTTTGTGTTAATTAGGTGGTAACAAGGGCTTTGACAAGATGGTCTGGGAGGTTGCTCAACAAACTCAAGGCCAAACCCCTTCCATAACCTTCAAGTACCACAGCCGTGATGGAGAGGAAGGTAATTAATACATCACAATCACATCACATATGAGCAATGTGCTAGCTATGAACATTACATACAATTGATACATGTTCTGCTTTTGATTTGAGGATGACACTTCGATTTGCAGGGTACCCTGGCGACCTTGCGGTGACCGCAACTTATTCACTGATATCGAACACTACACTGAAACTCGAAATGGAAGCAGTGCCGGACAAGAAAGCCACTCCGGTCAGCTTAGCGCAGCACACATACTGGAACCTCGCCGGACACAGCCACGGGACCATATTGGACCATTCTATCCAGATTTGGGGCTCTCATGTCACTCCAGTCGACCAGAACACGCTCCCCACGGGGGAGATCCTCTCGGTGAAAGGGACGCCTTTCGATTTCACGGCCGAGATGAAGAGGATCGGGGCCTCGATCCACGAGGTCGAGGGCCCGGGCTACGACCACAACTACGTGCTGCAGCAGGATGGCAATGGGGATCAGAAGTATTCGGGCCTGAGGCTCGCCGCCAAGCTCAGGGACCCTTCCAGCGGCAGAGCCATGGCTCTGTGGACCAATGCGCCAGGGATGCAGTTCTACACGGCCAACAATGTGAATGGGATTGCGGGGAAAGGTGGGGCGAACTACGGGAAGCACTCTGCGGTCTGTTTGGAGACTCAGGGGTTCCCCAATGCTGTGAATCAGCCGAATTTCCCTTCTGTGATTGTGCAGCCTGGGCAGAAGTACCAGCATGCCATGGTGTTCGAGTTTTCAGCTGAATGAGGAACACAGTGTGTGTGTGGGTGCGTGGGGCTTTATTTGAGTGGAGTTCATACAGATACTGGTTCAGTATGTTATGATCATATGATGAACATATCAATTGAGGAAGTTCTGGCACTCTGTTTCTAATATAAACAGAGTGTTCTGTTGCTTTAGTATAATGTTTTGATTAGTATCCTTTCACATTCACATGGAGACTTAGATGATCAAGGAAAATTAATAAGAAGATATATGGTTTGTTTTCTTATGAAGGAGAAGAGTAAGATTGATATATGCTCCATTCCCACAGATTCTGATAGTTGTTACATTTTAACTTGGTTAGTTATTGTTCGGGATATTGATAGTTGTTTTATGATGATAAATGTATATGCAATCTTCCACTTTTAATTTAGGAAAATCTTGTACCAATATCTTTATAGTATCCGTGCTTTCATTTAAAAAAAATTTGTACTTTTGCGTTATGTTACAAGTTCTGTTTGTAACATAACATAAATGTACAGATGAAAGATGATTTAGTAGAAATATGGGTACTTTAGGAAATTCTATAAAAATTATTGTCTATGGAAAATTTTTTAGGGAAAAAATCCTGAAATATTAGAAGCCTAGATTAATTTTTGTCCTCAGCCTATAGATCGGTATCGAGCTGCATTTTGAGTATAGATTCAGTTGTCAGTTACTCAACAACTCCAAAAGATCCCGAAATCCACGTATCCCCTCGATCTCCAGATCCTCTGTTCATTTCCATGCCTCAAATCCCCTCATCCCGGGATCTCATTAAATCTGCAGATTCCCCGTTGTTGTCACCCTCCGACTCCGACGACCCGACGACACCATTAATGGATCCCGCCGACACGCCGCAGAAGAGCTACTGGCGATGGAGCAAACAGGACTTTTTCCCCGAGCCCTCTTTCCAGAACTGCTCCGCTTACAGAGCAGCGCTCTCCCAGACCGGCCGCCGTTTCAAGGAGCGGCTCCTCTCGCGTTCCTCCGACGACAACGAGCTCGTCAATCTCCGCCGGGAGAGCCAGAACCCTATGTCCAAGTGCCTCACCTGGTGGGACCTCATGTGGATGAGCTTCGGCTCCGTCGTCGGCTCCGGAATCTTCGTTATCACCGGCCAGGAAGCTCGTAATCACGCCGGCCCTTCAATCGTCCTCTCCTACGCCGTCTCTGGGCTCTCTGCCTTACTCTCCGTGCTCTGCTACACGGAATTCGCCGTGGAGGTTCCCGTCGCAGGTGGGTCTTTCTCCTTTCTTCGAATTGAATTGGGTGACTTCGTTGCTTTCCTCGCCGCTGGGAATATTCTTCTGGAAGGGATTGTTGGTGCTGCTGGGTTAGGAAGGTCTTGGTCATCTTATTTCGCCAGCATGTTCAATTCCAATAATCCTGATTTCTTGCGGATTAGAATTGAAGGGTTTGCTGAGGGTTTCAATCTATTAGATCCTTTGGCTTTTATTGTCCTGTGGGTGGCAAATACAATTGCAATGACTGGCACAAAGAGGACATCTTTACTCAACTGGATTAGCTCCATTGTCAGTGCTCTTATGATCGTTTTCATTATAATTGTCGGGTTCATCCATGGCAAGACCTCGAATTTGACCCCATTTTTCCCCTATGGAGCTGAGGGAGTGTTCAATGCTGCAGCAGTAGTGTACTGGTCTTACACAGGGTTCGATATGGTAGCTACCATGGCAGAGGAGACCAAGAAACCTTCGAGGGATATCCCGATAGGATTGGTCGGATCAATGTCCATGATCACAGTGGTGTATTGCTTGATGGCTCTAGTACTCACCATGATGGTGAACTATACTAGAATCGATCCAGATGCTGCTTACTCAGTCGCATTTGCCCAAATAGGGATGAACTGGGGGAAGTACTTGGTGAGCATATGTGCATTGAAAGGGATGACCACTAGCTTGCTTGTTGGATCACTAGGACAGGGGAGGTACACCACTCAGATAGCTAGATCACACATGATCCCTCCGTGGTTTGCTCTGGTTCATCCAAAGACCGGGACCCCAATCTACGCCACTCTTCTAATCACCACTCTGAGCTCCATCGTTGCTCTCTTCTCCAGCTTGGACGTGTTATCATCTGTCTTCTCGTTCAGCACTCTCCTCATCTTCATGCTCATGGCTGTTGCTCTGCTGGTGCGGCGATACTACGTGAGTGGAGTTAGTACGAGGAGTAGTTTGGTCAAGTTTGTCGCGTGCTTGTGCACCATTATTGGTTCTGCCATCGGAGTGACTGTGTTTTGGAGCACTAGTAAGGGGGGATATGTTGGTTATGTGGTGGGAGTGGTGGTTTGGTTCTTGGGGACTTTGGGGTTGGCTCTGCTGCCAAAGCAAAGAGCGGCGAAGGTGTGGGGAGTTCCAGTGGTGCCATGGTTGCCCGCTCTGTCAATAGGGATGAATGTGTTTCTGATTGGGTCTTTAGGGTATGTGGCGTTCCTAAGGTTCTTCATCTGCAGCGGCGTGATGGTGTTGTACTACTTGTTTGTTGGTGTTCATGCGACTCATGATATGGCTAATCAGAAACTAGGGGAAACGAATGTTGCTTTGGGTTGATCCAAATTGGATCAGGTGTTTCTGAAAGCTAGTTTTCATTCTGCGAATATGAAAGTGTGGATATTCTAGAACATATAGGTTCAATTAGATATGTAAGAATGTAGAGGGGTCTGTTTTGTTGTTGCATTGTTTATATCTTAAGATATGATCGATTCCTGATTGAAGATGATGAATTATAGCACTTCCGTGGATTATTCATATTATTCCTGTAGTTATTTTTCTTAGTGATTAGTATCTCGTATAAGTCCGACCCCCAGAACTCCTATAGCCGACAGACTGAAGCGGAAGAGAGAGGCTGAGGAGATGGGCGATGTCATGAAGGCAGTGGAGGACAAGACTATGCTTTCCAAGCGGGATACGGATATTCTGGGTGTGCTTGATGAGCTGAAGTCGGCGAGATTGAGACACACGGCGGCTCGGCCGCTGATAAGGTAATGGTTCTCTGAACTCAAATGCTGCTCTCTGTAATGGCTGTTGAATTGTGAGGTTTTGTATTGAGCAACTATGAACCGCCATGTTCAAGTGTGACTCTTTTTGGAAATGGGTTGTTTAGGATTAGCGAAGATGCTCGATTAAGGTTGGGGGAAGTCTGTACTTTACACGGATTATAAGACTGGCGGCAGACTTCAATCCCTCTGTGAAAATTAGACGACACGACAGCGACGATGGAAGTGAATGATCAATGCATCCAATTCAGATTAAAAGGACTAATGGATCAACTCAAAAGGATGAAAAATGAACTTCAGAAGAAAAGCTACGAGTTTAGAAGATAATAAGCGACAAAGTAAAAGCAAAGGAGGCTTGATTGTCTACTTCATAGTTCATTCATGTTTCTTCCTTTTCTTCAAGCTAGCATCTCACTGTAAGGGAACTGGAATCACACGTAGAGCATATTTTCTTCCAACAGACGCCCCAAAACATTCTGTCATGTCGAGACTCTCCGGTTTCAAATCGTCCGGGAGTTCCCAACGAAAATGATAGAGCAAATTTGCCAGAGTAAGCTTAACAACTTCCATTCCGAAATCGTATCCGGGACACATCCTCCTCCCTGCACCGAACGGGATGAAGTGAAAATCGTTCCCCTTGTAGTCAGTCGAGCTCCTGATGAATCTTTCAGGGTAAAATTCCTCTGCTTTATCCCAATAACGAGGATCCCGACCGATGGCCCAAGCATTCACGAACAATTTGGTTTTCGCGGGAATCTCGTACCCACAAAGTTCCATCCTCTCGTCGTTCTCTCTGGGAAGAAGCAGAGGACCCGGAGGATGCAGTCTCAAAGTCTCCTTGATAACGCAATCCAAATACTTCAACTGATGCAGACTTGCTTCCTCGACGTTTCCTTTCTCACCGAACGCTTGTTTGACCTCATCTTGCACATTTTGCATCACGTTTGGGTGCTTGATTAATTCGGACATCGTCCATTCAACTATTTTGGACGATGTGTCATTGCCGCCGAGTAGCATTTCCTAATTGGCCACATTGAAGAGATAACAACGAAACAAGAATAAGTTAGGTTAATTAACGACTGCTGTGATGACTTTATATATACACGAGATTATATAGCTAGCATGGTCAGTTGGTTACCAAAATGACTGCTTTGATGACTTTCATGGTCAAGGGGAATCGCAGCTGGCTGGAGTCAAAATTCAAGAGAACATCAATGAGGTAGTGTTTATGGTCGATTTGTCTCTGCGATTTCCTCTCATGGATAATGACGTCCAGTATGGAATCTGCCTCTTGATGCATTTTTTCAAGTTTCCCTTTGAACCCAGTGAGAGCGGGAAGAAACGTAAGAGAAGGATATAGGTCTGAGATTCTGAAACCTGCTACAACATCTGAAATAGTTTCAACGATGGTAAGCAATGCCTGGTTCAGGCCTCGAATGGTGCCGAAGGCTGCTCTGGCAGCCACGAAACCCGTCATTTCCCCCACCATTCGACTGAGATCTACGCCCTCGTTACTATTATTATTTAGGAGATCTGCTGCAAGATTTGTAAAATCATATAGACCATATCGAAAAATGTACAGAATAGGTTAGCAATATAGTACGTTTGGTGATACAGTAGTCATTAGCAAACCATTATCTTACTGCATACAAACTAGTTATCGACAATTTACTTACTTAAAATTTAAAATGGTTTTAGAGTGTAATATGTTAATTATTTTATCAAATATTTGCTCCATTATTTTCTTACAACAAACATGTCCCTCTATTTTGAAAAAATTATCGAACACGCCTTTATAATAAAATATTCATAAAAAATCATTAACGACTATCAAATCTCGATTTAAGTGACACAAATGTTAAAAATATCCCTAATAATTTCAGTTTAGCAGTTTCTTTTGTATAGCCCGATTACCCAATAATTTCACTTTAACGACAAAACTTAGAGAAATAAATGAAAGTGCAAAAGTGACATTTTCCTTTCATTTTGCTGCGGTTAGGTCATCTGAACCATGGTTTGGTTATCAATTTTTGGATGAAAATTTCAACAAAAAGACATATTTGATAATATTTTCAAAATAAATAACCATTTTTATGTAAAAATAATAAAGATACATATTTAATAAAAAAAATATATAATAAAAAAGTATATTATACATTAAATCCAACTAAAAAATATATCAGACCCAGAAATTACTTCAAAAACATAGAAAGAAATAACTTCAAAAACCCGAAATAAACAAAGCCTAATTAATTAATTAATCTCACCGTCTTTACTCCGACCCCCTAGCTCCGCCGCCGCTTCCCGGAGGCGCACCACAAGTTTGGCGACCTCTTCCTCCCTTATCCAGCGAAACGACTGGACCCGCTTGGCGCTGAGAAGCTCGACGGTGCAGATCTTGCGGAGCTGGCGCCAGTGCTCGCCGTAGGGAGCGAAGGCGATGTCGTTGTAGCCGCCGCCGTAAAGGACGTAAGGCGCGAAGATGGCAGGCCTGGAGGCGAAGGCCAGATCGTGGGTCTTCATCACCTGTCTCGCGGCCTCGGGCGTCGAAACGACGACGTGTGGGAGCTCTCCCAGCTGGAGGCTCATGACGTCAGCGGCACCGTACTGCCGCGCCAGCTCGCTGAGGCGGCGGTGGGGTTGGGAGTAGCCGCCGTTCATGGCCAGCTGGTGGAGGTTTCCGATGACGGGGAGCTTCCATGGCCCTGGCGGAGGAACGGTGGTCGGACGTTTCTTGGAATTACGGACGATAATTATGGTGATTAGGAAGGCGGTGAATATTGTTGCGGTGAAGCTGAGGAGGCCGATAGAAGGGTCGTTGAAGAAGATGGACTTGATCGTGGCTGCCATTTTCGTTGGGAAAGCTCGAGATTTTTTCCGATGAGTTATTAGTTATGCTCCGGCTATTGGGAGCGGAAAATAAAATACTCTTCATAATTTTAGTAACCCTTTTCACTTACTATTGATGCATGGAATGCATCCAATTTTTGTTTTTTTTTTTTCTTTTTCAAATGAATTTGACAGGCTATTTTTTACAGAATACTTTTTTTTTTACAGAAAACTTAGATTAGTTGTAATTTTTTAAATGACATCGATTCAACTATGTGGGCCGAGAGTCAAATAAATGTGCACATTTGATGGCTCGTGCCTAGTGTAGATGGAAGGTAGAGGAATTGTGGGTGGATAGACCACTAATATTTTTTGTATCTTTTCTAGAAGATGATGGTTCTACTTCTATTATCTTAATGAAATAAAAACATAGTTATTATTCGGAGAGAAAATAGTTATGTCCACTTTGATATATTATAAAATAAACAAATTGAGATATTTATTATGGGTTCATATCCTGTGATTATACTTGATAGTACATGAGATTATACCACATGATATAATATTATCTACCATCAAATAGTACCATATGGTAATAAAAATTTCATTTTCTTTTTTAAAATAAATTAAAATAGATATTATTTTGAAGAGCACAATAAATCTGTTTTTTCCATACAAACTTATTTTCATTTTGACTTAACACAAACGTGATATAGCCGTTACAATTTAAATGAAAAATTTAAAAATCTTCTATAAGTAGTAAGTACAGGTTATGCAATTCTACCAAAAAAATAAACAGGTTATGCAATGGTATGCAGCAGGGCTGGGCGTGCCGACGGATCACTTGCGGGTTTGGGTCGACCCACCCTCATTTTATCCGAATTTCGTTATGTGGGTGGGTGATTGGTTGCGCTGAGAGCCATCTGGCGGGTGGATTGTGGGCAGGTGTGCGGGTGACCCGCTCAACCCAACAACAACAAGAACAAAGTCGTTAGCGCTGGAGAGAGGAGAGTGGAGACGTTAGACGGAAACTAGGGTTGTTCATGAAGATTGAACCTTAAAGTCAACCTTCCAAATAGCGATCCCCTTTATTTTTTCATTTGATTCTTGTACCTAGGTCACCTCTCTTTCCTCCGATGAATTATTTTCATTAGTTCGTTGCACTTGATAATCATCTCCATCTTAGAAAACTCCTCCATAATATAATTTTTCTCTAATTTGACATTTCCCCCGTTCCATCTTCTTGTTTCCGCCCGATAACTCACTCCACCAATTATCATGTCAAGTTTACTCCTTTATATTATATACATTGTGATGTGGGTGAACCCACAAACTCACTCGCATTATCCATATCATCCGTCCGACCCAACTCGAGACGAAATGTGGGTGGATGGTGAGTTAAAAATTATCAATCCGTTTAAGCGCGGGTGAATGTGTTTTATAGTCAACACCCACCCCAACTATGCAGCGTATACGCTATCTAGGGAATGCATTTGCCAACTAAAATCCAAAAACCCATTTGCACGTATATTTTTTTTTATAACCCATGAACATCAGCAACCCACATGCCACATGAGTGACAGCAGAGCCTACTAAACCTGGGGGTACCTGCATACTAATCATCAAGGACTTTGTCCTGGCGTAGTGCCCGGCGTTGTGCTACCATTATCGGGAAGACTTCGTCTCCTGTACCAAGAATGCCTCCAGGAACACCAAGAAGGTGGTACTAGGATTCGAACCTGGGGCCTTGTCACATCCCAAACTCACAACCCTGCCCTTTTACCAACTAGGCTTTCTTACCATCGGCCATTTGCACGTATATTAGATAAGGGCATAAGTCTAAGAAATAAAAAGAAGAACAAGAAGAAGATAACGCTACAGACAATGAGATTGGAATATAATGGCCCATTCCTTTGATTGAAGACCGCGCAGCTTGCTATTATCGATCGATGTGATGTTTCATTTGGGGTGGGGGGATGATTTTGCAATTCCATTCCATCACATCAACTTTAGGCTTATTTTTTTTGTTTATGTATTTCAATTGTGTCATTTTTAGTATTAAATGGCTCTATTTACAGCAACTATCAAGATGATTATAGCTCCAGCAAAAATCTTCAATAATTCATTTTTTAATATTTAAATAATGAGTTTTTTTCTCTATTACTATCCAATCATAATCTTGCCCTTTTTCATAAATTATAAATTTTACCTTTTTGTCTTTGATAAACCTAATTAATTTTGATTATTCAATTATTCTTCAATAATATTTTCTAATAATTTTTCATTAAAGTTGTTCTTACTGTTTTTTTACTAATGGTTAACCATTAATTACTGAGGTTAATTTACTGTAACCACAAAAATCACGATTCTCTGTCAAAAAAAATTTAAAACATTTTAGTAGATAATTGTTAATATTAATAGATCATATTATCAAATTTTAGTGACTTGTCTAAAATTAAGTAGTTAGCACTTTTTTTGGTGAAATAGTAGTTAGCACTTTAGTATAAGTCGTTTGTTATTTTGTTGAATAATTGGTTATTGTAGATTTATACTTTCTATTTTATGTTGAATTAGTGACATCTAGCTGCATGAATAATGATGATGATAAATGGTTGCTAATGTTGCATTTTCTCTTAATAGTTTTATATTTTCTTCTATTTTGGTCGTGATTTTCTCTATGGATTTTATTTTAACTATTTTCTTTTGTTTTTTCATATTCGTTGCCCTATTTTCTTCTTTTGTCGCTCTTTTATTTGATATATATTTCCTTCACAAGTAACAAATAGTTCTTAAATTTTAAGCGATTGTATCTCTCCAATTTTCTTTTCATTTCTTTTGTCGATTTGTTTTTGACGACAATTATTTGATGATAAAGATGGAAGGTGTAGGGAATGATTGTCCAACTAAATTACAAACACCCATTCGCAATTTGCATGCGCCATTTGTACGTATAAGGCTGCAGAAGAATGCAGATAATGAGATTGGGGAATATTGTGGCGGAATGGCCCATTGCATTGATTATTGAAGACCTTTCAGCTTGCCATAATTGATAATAATATTTGTAAAGGAAGATAAGATAAAATTATTATTCAAATTATAAAGCAGTATTATATATGACTCGTAGCCAAATAATATGTTATGTTTATTACAAAATAATTTTATATTTTTCATGGTTTTCTTTAGATTGAAAATTAGATAATGAAATATATTAAATTTCAAGACAAATTTATAATATTATACAAGTGTCTCGATTACGAATGTCTCGTGTAAATTTTTTTAAGAAAATCATTTACTTACAAAATTCTACATTGTCAACTATCTATATTCATACAAATGATTCGTTTTGGAAATACCCAAGCAAATAAAGCCTACAGATTGCATGCACAATTTTTGGCCATATTTTTGTGTAAAATGCAAATTAATTAATTACCATTCGATACAATATAATTGGCGTGCTTAAGCAAAGGCTGATAGAGTGAGATCCTCTAAGCTAGCACGCACCTGATCTATTTCGTGCAATCAAGAAACAGAATAGAATATAATTAATGGTTAACCACTACGTACTGCTATATGGAGTGCCGACGCAGACAGGACAAGAGTTGGTATGCAGGCTGCTGGTATTAGTTAATGGAGCAGTTGAGGGAAGACTAATTATGTTTTGATTTAAGATAAAAATTGGTAAATTTTAATGTAATTATCATTGTTGTAAGAATCAAATCAATGACGGGGCCAATAAATCGTCAAACCAATTAAAATAGCAGTGCGGTTCATTTATTTGAACGGCCAGTTATGAATTCGAACTACTGTTTTTAACAGTTTTACATGAAACTAGATGAAGGATTTCGATTTGATAGGTTCAACTTGCTACCACCTAGCTAGGTATGGGAGGCCTATCTATATATTTTTTTTTTTTTTCCAAGAAATGTCAAGAGAGAACCTATACAATCTACCAAGACCCTGCCCAACCCATTACATTAGTGAAGCCAACCAACAAAGTCAAAGGCGCACAACTCTAGAGGGGAGGCCTATCTATATATATATATATATATATAGACAGTACACTTAGCTTGCTATAACTAAATTCCCAGATCCAAAGTAAGTTTCTTTATATATACTTGTGATTCATATATAATTTGATAGAGCTCGCCAGCTTCCTATGGCCGCCGCCGGCACAGTAGCGACGACGTCAAGCGCACTCAAACGCCGAACGGCTGAGTTTCACGAGAGCGTTTGGGGGGACTTCTTCATTACTCACGTCCCCCAAACTCATGAGGTACGTATATTAATTGATATAATTATGACTCTTGTGGATTATACAGGAAGTTGTGTTGTTTAGAAGGTTTTGTTTCGACCATATATGGGATATATTCACCCGATTCAAAAGGATAAATTTGTCAAACTTACATGGAGAAAGAAATTCGAATTCGTGAGATCTATGTACTTGACTTTTAGTTTACATGCATTTGGGAAATAAATCATCTAAAATTTATGGGATAAAAAACAAGGATTTTAAGTTTTGGTGAATGTATGCTCAAATAAGGATTTAATCAAATGAATAAGATCTGTTACTTAAGTTTTATGAGTACAACAACTTAAAAACGAGATTTCTATGTCTCGTGAACAAGAAAGATAAGGGATGATGACCTGATTCTTCCTATTTGGTTTGTTTTGAAATGGATAATACATGACTTTTAACTGGGTGAGATTGGGTAATGGGTACTATCGTCAACCTGATATGTCCTAACTGTCTCATTCTTTATTCATTTTTTATATTATATTCATTTTTACTTAAATTAATTGAGATTTGACATTTATTATACTATATTATAGTTGCTATAAAGTTTTAAATAGTTGATAACCGCAATTTTTGAATAATTTATATTATCATGGTTGGTTTATTAATTTTTTAAAATAAAAAGTTAAACATTTTGCGTGCTTTTCCTTCAAAATACATACACGTATGCGTCAACCTACCCCAACTCGTATGCCAAAACAAAATGCTCTATGTAAACTCGACCTGTTCGGGACAAGTATAGATATCGAAATACCGCAGACGTGTACATTCTCATTCCCAAGAAAGACGAAATCCTGATAACATACACGGTTGTTCTCGGTTACGGGATCCACCATATATTGAAACGTATTTGTTTCAATTGTGCATATATTTATGTTTTGGGATATAACATGTTTTGTTGTGGTATTATATATTTTTCCATCACAAGTTTGTTACCATATTTTATGTTAAAAAAATTGTTTGTCTACTATAATACAACCTCAAATACACTCCATTAAAATCTCTCATCCAAAAATTGTTAAATTTGGTCAAAACATTATCCGGCAGACCTGTATTTACTATACTACCCCTAATTATCTATTCTGGCACATGTATATGCTTTGGCAAGGTGGTAAATGGCTGGAATGAACAAATTGAAGTACTGAAGTCCAATATAGCGGGTATGTTATCATCTCATGCCGACAACAAAACACTGGATCTCATTGATATAATTGAGCGACTCGGCATCGACTACCATTTTGAGAAAGAAATCGAACTAATTTTTCGACAAGAGTATGTAAAAATTACCAGCGACGGTGACAATTACAATGATGATGACCTCTACACCGTTGCACTCCGTTTCAGACTGTTGAGACAACACGGATATAACATCTCAAGTGGTACGAGCAATACATATCTCTCCTCGTCCTATGCGTTACTTAATTAATTATCATCATAGATATATGATTATGATCATCAATTGATGATTCAATTTTACTGTGTTTAATTTGCATGTTGGGTACCCTCTCTCTAATAGATATATTCAAGAGATTCAAGACTAGTGATCATGAAGGAGATGAGTTGAAGCAAGAAATCGTCAGTGACGTTGAAGGCATGCTAAGCTTGTACGAGGCTGGGTACCTACGGACGCATGGGGAGAGTATATTAGATGAAGCCATCGCCTTCACAAAACCACACCTAGCTGCTGCCGCCGGCGCCGAGGATCTCAAACTGGCGGACTCGACTCTCGCCGATCGGATTGCCCATGCTCTGAAATGGCCACACCGCAAAGGCATGAAGAGGGTCGAGCATCACTTCTTCATATCCATCTATGAACAAACGCAAGGGCACGATGAAGCACTCCTCAAGCTGGCCAAGTTGAGTTTCAATGTGGTGCAACACTTGTACCAAAAGGAGCTCAAAGTCCTCACCAAATGGTGGATCGAGCTGGATCTGCCAAAAAGGACGTCGTATGCGCGGGACAAATTGGTGGAGGTTTACTTCTGGGCCATGGGATGCTTGTGGAAGCCCAAATATTCTCTGGCCCGATACTGTTTCACGAGGGTTACCACAGTCGGATCGGTTTATGATGACACATACGATGCATATGGTACCATTGAAGAACTTGAGAAGTTCACGGCCGCCATCCATAGGTAATATATATATGCTAATTAAGTTCGATGAATTAACTATGCATAAATAATTTTAACATAATTAAATAATCCATTGAAATGACTATATATTGTAGGTGGGACACTAGCATGCAAGGCATAGAACCGAAAATGAAGCTAAGGAATGACTATACATACGGTCATATCTGTTAGTAACTAACTTAATTAATTCTCTACCGCGCGATGATTCATTTTTTTGCATGCATATATATATATGCAGCTAAGGAATGCTGTAAGATTATACCTGGAAGAAGCGCGATGGCTGGACAAAAATTATGTGCCGACCTTAGAGGAATACAGGCGTGTTTCTTCGCTGAGCACTCTCTACCAATGGGTAGCGTTTGCGGCATTCTGCGGAATGGGCGAATCGGCTCCCAAGCAAGTCTTCGATTGGCTATTCACAGAACCTAAATTGTTAGTAGCTTCCTCTGAACACTGCCGTCTAATGGATGACGTTGTAAGCCACGAGGTAATTATAGAATTGAAATCTTAAACCACTCCGATCTTTTTGGATGCATTGATAATTTCTCAATGATCGATGTTGTTTTTGTGTATGTACGTATATGCAGTTTGAGCAGGATAGAGGTCATTCTCCATCGTCTGTGGAGTGTTATATGATGCAATATGGTGTGTCGAGAAAGGAGGCAATCGATGCCCTAAATGACTTGGTGGAGGAGAACTGGAAGATAATAAATGGAGAGTTGTTGAATCCACCCGCTCATGTACCGAAAGAAATTCTTTTGATGTTTCTTGGTTTTGCTCAGATTATGGAGGCGCTCTACGCAGATGGCGATGGATACACCAATTCAGAGACCACCACCAAGGACATGCTTACTGCTCTGCTCGTCACTCCATTTCATGTTTGATCCATCATCTTAATTGAGATTTCCATATTCGAGTTTGGTTGGCTCTTGACTCATTTAATTATAATCACTAGATTTGTTAAGAGTGTTTGCATTACATGCAATGGTTGGATTGTTTGTTAAAAATTTCAAACTCTGAACCTCTGAATATGGATAGTGATCTATCTTCTATCGGTCAAAAGGAGTAACTTGTTGTGTATGGTTTAATATAATGTGCAATCTATGATCTTACATAAATTGTTTATTGTGTACTTTTTAAGTGTTGAACATATACCTAATTGTATTTTTTTCCAAGAGATAACAAGACAAAAGTTACAGAGAAAAACAGCACCCAAGACTAACACACTAGTGAAGGCACCTACAAAATTACAGGACACTTTTAGTAACTAACTGTAAAAGAGACCGCAACAGGGCTTACACACCATCTATGGTAACCCAGATGGTAGCTCATAAATCACTCTAAATTTAATTCATTGATTGATCAATCCAATTCATTTAACCCATCAATTTATGAATTCATCTATCAAGGATGTCATATCAATGTAACCAACCAAAAAATTGTTTATGATTTCATCAGTAAAAAACTTTTTCTACACTAGCAGTGACAACTGACAACAGATAACAATAATGAGGATTGCAGAAATCAATAATATAAACACAGCGATGTTTTGTAACTTATGGGAATGTGGAGTTGGAATGGGAGATAGAGAGACCACGTGAGTGGAGGCGGCAGACAAGTTGGCGGATATTGTGATAATTGGAATGGCCAATGCATGCACCGATTGAAGTTGCATTGATCAAGTTGGGTTAAAAAAAAACAGATATGGAATATCCACACAAGGCCTGATTCTCTAGTTGCAAGGCTTCTTAAAGCCAGGTACTACCCTAGAGGCACGATTATGGAGGCAAAAATGGGATAGCGACCTAGTTACATCTGGCGGACTCTAATGAGAGCTGTTGACTTGATTAACCACGGATGCAGATGGAGGATTGGATCGGAGAGGATGTGAAGATATGGGGTGACAGGACTCGAGAATTTTCAAGTGTATTCTTAGAGTCCTTTTATGGAACTGGATGCAAAGGTCTCTTGTTTAATTGACCAGGAGAAGAGAGAATGGAGGAAAGACTTACTGGAGCTAATATTCACAAGAGAAGAAACAGAAGCCATTCTAGCAATTCTCCTCTCGACATCTATTGACAAAGACAGACTGTGCTGGATAGGGAAAGAAAATGGAATTTACACGGTCAAGTCTGGATATCATGTTGAGATCAATACACAAAATGATAGGATGAATGAAGAAGCGGGGAGTGCAAATGAAGGAACTTTCTGCTGGAAAAAGCTATGAAAACTAAATGTGCCTGGGAAGTTGAAGATATTCCTTTGGAAAGCTGCTCACAACATCCTTCCAGTGGAGGTGTCGAAACCAGGCAGCTCAATTAATACGATATTGTCCGCTTTGGGTCAAACCCGCACGGTTTAACTTTTGGGTGTCCTCCCCAAAAGGCCTCGTACTAATTGAGCTTGGTGGACACTAATATACAAGGGTTCCTTCCCTTGTATTACCGATGTGGTACTTGGATTGTCCCATAACAATCCTCCCCTCAAGACAAGGACCACGAACTTCGTGTCCTCACCTCAACGATTATCTTGATCCGCCAGAGACACCTTGTATCGATGGGCCTCTCATTACAAGGATTTTTCCCAGACGCAGAACTATCTTTGATCTGCCAAATCAAACGCAGATCTCGAGGAAAGGCCAACGAGAATCTATAAGTGGAAGCCACTGGAGTCACACGATTTCAAGATGATCGAGGATGTGACCGCTTTGGAAGGAGAAGGATTGGGTTTTGGGTTTGTTGTCAAAGACAAGGGGGGAGAAATTTTGTTGTTAGAGTCTTTGGCGATTCAGTGGGGTTTGAAGATGACAGAAAGATTCAATTTCCTCTCTGCGGAGATGAAATCAGGCTGTCAAGTGACGATTCAGTGTTTGGAGAAGGAAGAGAACAATTTGACGAAAATGGGGGATCTATGGGAGGAACTAAGAGATTGCAAAGCAGCAATTAGGCCAATGACTTGTACCTCCTGTTGTTGGGACCAAGACGAAATTTGGCACACTAGGCCACTTATTTTCTTTGTAGCATAATTACATTGAGAATAAGCCAAGCAACTAGAAAAAAACTGCAGAGGCTAAGCCAGCGGAGAAGAATAAACCCACTGGCGGCGGACTCCAATCCCTCCAAAACTACGGCGACAGTACTGATGATGAAAGCGAATGATCAATGCACCCTTTTCAAAACTAAACTGATGATTGATTGTTTATTGTATCCGCCAGCCTCTACCAACGGGGAAGATAGATCTGCTCACCTGTACTGCGAATCTATCACTAAATAGCTTTGTTCGAACACGAATGCATACATTCTGGAAGTCTGCAAGGCTTCTGGGTATCCACCTTTCCGGAAATCTTGCTTCTGTGATTACTCTTGTCATAAAAAATTCGTAACAAAGATATATCATCATTCATCACAAACTGTTCTCCTCCATCAACAAACATTACTTGCATGGCGAGCAGCCATTTAACAAATACAACCATTCTTCTACATGAACTTTCAAACATGCTACTCATCATTCATTATATTACATAGAAATACGGGACTCACGCTTTCACTTCTGTGTCTTCCTTTTCCACAGGTCACCAAACATCTTAATCCCTGAAGAACCCTTTCTCTGCTTCCCGCCACTTCCATATCCTTCATCCATATCATCACCAAATCCAGGGGATCCCACGTACCCAGCCGGGGTCTCGAACATGCTTCCACCACCACCGAAGGGCTTCTCCATGGAAGCACACCTCTGATCAGAAACAACAAACCTCCCATTCCCGCCTGCGAGCACTGCAGCGGCTGCATCGGCCGCTTTCCTCCACTGCTCCGTCTGAACTCTCATCCTCTTCATCTCACATTCCAACACTTCCTTCCCTTCCTTCACTGCCTCCAGCTGGCACGCCAACTCCGCGGCATTGCCTCTGCTCGCCTCCACCGCTTCCTCCACTCGACTCAACCTCGAACGCATCTCCTCTTCCTTGGCCTTGCCACATTCAATCCTAGAAGCCGCCTCATCAAGCTGCTTTCTCAGCTCTTCCTTCTCCTGATTCGATTCCAACAACTCCCTCTTTCTCTCCTCCAGCTTCGCTCTAAGCTCGTTCATCTCCTCTTCGTGCTTTTTCTTCAGGGCAATGTCTTCTCCAGGGGAGGTAGGATTTGGTGTGTCGCCCTTAATTTCCACCGCAGGAACTTCAAACACGTCGATCTCCTCCCGATCGTTATCCGCCGCCGCCAGCGGCGGGATTGCTCCTTCTTCTTCTCCTCCTCCTCCTGCTACCTCCTCTGGTTCTGGATTGGGCCGGGTTGATTTCTTACTGGACTTGTTCTCGAGCTCCTTCTGGGCTTCATTCTTGGCAGCTTCCGCGGAGGCCAGTTGCTGTTTCAGACTCTTGAGCTCTTGCTGAGCTTGTCCCAGTTGTGACTCGAGATCGGCGATTCGTGTGCCGAGCTTCCTCTGCTGCAGTGGTGGATCGGAATGTGGCCCGCCGCGAGGGGAGCGACGGTGATCGGAGACCTTCGGGCTTCGGTCGGTGGTGGCGCCCCCGGAGTCGGAGGTGGCTGATGTTCTTAGTGGGTGCGGGCCTCGTGACGATTGCCTCTGAGGCATTTCTGAAGACCCCCTACTATTATTGACACAAACATGAAAGCATAAATCCGGCATTAGGCAAGAGGGATCACTCTCCCAATATATAAAACATCATCAAATTCGTTCTAATAAACCATCATTAACATTTTTTCCGGGTTTAAACATTGTGATTCTACCATGGTATCAATGGGTCGCGGGTGTGACATCACAATATTACGATTTACTTGTTAGGACGAAATTGGTGATTTTGGTCGTGACATCATAATGATAACAACGAGTTCACACCACTATCTCGGATTACGAATCCAGGGGATGGAGGTTTGCTGACCTTGATCTTGGCATTGGCTCAATCTCTAAAGGAACAAAGATTGAAGGTTAAAAGTCCTCCAAACTGTCTGGAAGAGTGGCTGTGTTAAGTAGGAGATGACTGCACAACCTGGTGGAGGAGATTATGTGTGAAACAGTATCAGAAAAGTGAAAGAAAGTAAACAATCAACACCTAGACAAAAGGATGATTTATCAAAGTCAATCCTAATCAGCTCATTACCATCTAATAAATCAGATTAACCATTTCTTTAAAACTGATTACTGATTTGGTTCCAGCTGCAACATGCTTTACTTTCTAATGTGGTTTTCATTTCTCATTTCCCGATCAAGGACTCAATCATTCAGAAGACAACAATAACTGCTCACTAACATGTATAATCACCTCCAAGGACCCAAACCTAGTTATATCTGTCTACCTAACCATAGACCCACTTTGGCAGTCTGGCAATCACCTCTTTGCCATTAATTTCCTCTATACCTGTACACTGTACTCCAATAATGATAATAATATGGTGTTCATTTCCCTTTCATTTACTCCTTTGGATCTTCATGTTCTGTACACTTTCCCTTTTTTTCCTTTGGAATGACCATTCTGTTCTGTACTCTGCTCTTTTTTCTTTGTAATGACCAATTCAGTTCTTTCCCAACCTATAATATATTCCTCCTCAACTATGTCGTAAACCCTCTCAATTTTGCTTGAATTCACCCTCTAGTTCTTCTCCTCCTAGCATCAATTCGTCATCAGGAGATTACAACGAGCTTGATTCCCATATCGAAACTTTCGTAGTTATAAGGACAAATAGGGATATTCATTGAACTTAAATCTACACAATAAATAAAAGCCAAATAAGAAAACTTGAAGCCACATTTCAAATTTCTTGCATCCGGAGTGAAAGTAGGAATGACACTTTGGTCTTCACAATTATTTTTTTTTATTCATTAAAAAGACACTTACTAGAATTCGCACCATGACCACTTTATAGAAAATCACAAATCATAACCAATCACACTAAGTACATTTGTTGTATCTTTTTAAATTAAAAACATATAATCGCAGAGAGCAAAAAACCCTTCCCCATTTCAGTTTTTCTGCTCCATGAGCGTTTGTAGGAAGGGTAGAATAGGGAGTGTTAATTTTTTTCTTTTTCCTCTGTGGAACGGGTCAACTTACAGTACACATGTGGATTTAAACGGGTCCAGGAGTGTCAATTTTTTTCTTTAAGTCCTTTTGTTTCTCCGTGGTGATAAAATATATATGAAAAGGCAAAAACAATACTCCTTTTTATTTCTAAAAAGAAAAAAAAATAACAATAAACTAACGCATGGATTCTAATGGGCTAATCATAAAATAAAAGAGTTGAAAGACCCTAACCTACATGGGATTTGCCAATCCAGTAAAACAAATGAACATCATGGGTTTGTCATTCTAAAACAAGCTATTTTTTCTAGCATAATATATATTATGCTATTATTTTATATCTTAGTGGCTAAAATATAATGTATTTTAAAATTATTCAATGGTTCAACCTCGACCAACCTAATTAGTCCAATTTTTATCATTTCAAATATATATTATGTAATTATTTGATATCATAATTATTAAATTATAGTGTATATTATAGGGAATCGTTTGGTAAGTGTTAGTAAAAAACTAATCAGAAAGATCTATTTGGTTATTTTTAACATTAAAACGATCCTAAACATTTTCAATTTCCTTTCGAAATTCTATAGTTTTATTCCCGAATCAGTGATGTGCAAATGACGAATTGCAGTCATCTCTTTTCTTTCATTATTTTTTATTTTCAAATAGAAAGTTTAAAAGTAAAGAATAATTAGAGTTTGGCATGGGTCGGTCAAACAGGCTGAATTTCAAGTTTTGGCCCGTTTTGATCAAGTCTAATTTATAATCACATGGTTCCCTGATACCCGATACAAATCTCAATCCAAACCAGTTTGGCAGGTGAGTCCGTGTTTACCACCATTTTCTAGGGATACAGGAACGGTGGTTCCTATCACAAATCGTGTTGTTCATTCTTGATTTCTTTAGATTTTATCATGGCTTGGCAAAAAACTAGAAAGCACAATCATGATAAGATGAAAGTTTTATAAAGCAAATTAATTGGCCAACTGGCCGAGTAAAAGCTAGCAACGATTGTGAGATGCTCTTTTCCCAAAAACCGGCGGGATAGACGATTTTTTATTCAATTTTCTGGAATTCGGTTTCTATAAAACTTACTCCACCTCATCATATTAACAGAAACAATATTGTTTCACAAGGTAATAGGTACTTGATTTTGGTTCATAAGGCTGATTTTTGATTCGTTGCATCATTCATGTCTTTTTCCTACTAAAATTCACTATTTTTATCACGCGTTTCCAAAAAAACTATACAACAAAAAGCTATACAACCCATTACATTATCAAATTTCATACCTCATCTTCCTCCGGCCAAATGGCCGGGGCCACGCTAGTAGTTTATTATAAGTTTGACAATGGTGACTTGGGTACAAATTCTAAAATTAATTTAGGGAGGATCAAGAATCAAGATGAAGACAATTTTGGATCCTCTAGTTTGAAAAACCAAAACAAGAATTTCAAATTCAAATTTTGTTTTTTACCTCCACCCACTTCCCAAAAACAGAAGACCCCGCTCTCTCCCCAATATGTATCGATGGTGGAGCTTCTAGTCTTTAAACATGTTGGTCCATGCCATGCCAAATGTTTTCTTGGGCAGTGAAAAAGAAACTAATTTTAAAAAAAAAAACCCTTTCTTTTCCGTTTCAAAGATATTCCTCCTTCTGTACCCAAACAGTGCCCTTCTCAGAAAAAGTGGCGGTACTGTCTTATTCCCAGCGCAGTCGACAAAAGCTCTGCCACTCCGACAGCTCTCTCGCGTAAGAAACTGCAACCTCACGCGCCGCCGGGAGACACTGACCACCATCTCTCCGCCGCGCTCAGTTTTAAAAAAAATTACCCGTTCGAAGAAGTGCCCAAACAAGGTTCAAAAGCAGAGCTTGCCTCACGGTTCTGTTTTAAGAACAACACAGTGGAAATGAAGGGAAACCCCTTTTAGATCATTGATTGACTCCCCGGAAAAGAATACAAATCCCCTTGATTCCCCTGAACAAAAGACAAAAGATGGGAGTCTTCCATATTCCTACCAGTGTTTAGAGACTCCGCCTTTAAGCTCTGTTCTACACAACCTCTGTTTATCAACCCCCATTTTTCGTGTTCATTCTTTATTTCCCGAATGCTGAGTAACAGAAAGGAATCAACAACAAACCGGTAAATGGGATCCAGACTTGAATTTCTTAGACTCTCCAAAATCTTGCCTAGTTGAAAATCCATACTTTAAAAGAAAAAATCCATTACATTGTCAACAATTCACTTCCCAAGTTCACCACTTGCAATACATTTTCTCGACAAACCAACAGAGATCATTTAAGCATACAGGATCAAGAACAGATGCAAACATAAAGAAGGAAAGTTAATGAAAGAACTGACCTGCGTTCGTTGTCCACAGAGCAGCACCGAGAGAGAGAGAGAGAGAGAGAGAGAGAGAGAGAAGGGGGTAAATGGTTATATGGCTTTTGGAGAGGTCCAACTAGTGGAAGAAGAAGAAGTTAATGGGCTGGAGAAAGGCTAATATTTTACAGAGGTGGAACTTGGAAGACGACTCGGGTCTCTGGATGTTAATGAGGAGGGAAGGATGAAAGAAAAGAAAGAAGAGATTGAATCGTTGAGGCGGTGGGGGAGCCGGGAGGTAATAATAAATACGAATTAATTATATAGTGGGGACTGGGGACTAGTGTGACACGGGTGAACAATTAATTATTGGGAAATTACTTGCGCTCTCAAATCTATAAAGATTGGTATACCTTGGCTTGATTGAAATTGATTACTTCATTTCCAGGTTTCAAGTGATATCATCCACGGCACGGCGGCGGTGAGATGGCGGCCATGTTTATCAGTGGCTCCCGTAGTTGAGTACTTGTAGATAGGCCTGTTAGTCGGTGCGGTTTCGGTTTAACCGAACCGCACCATCGGTTAGCCGAGACCGCAAATACCCTATCATTGCCAACCGAAGCCGACACCGACAAGACCATCGGTGAACCGCTAACCGCAGACGGCGGTTTCGGTTTGGAGTTGCGGTTAGCCGAGACCGCAAGTCCCCTCTCCATTTTCGATCTCTCCAACTCTCTCTCTCTCACTCCTATCGGCTGCCATCAATCCCATCGACCACAGACGACTCCCTTCCAATCCTCTCCACTTCGACTTTTTCCAATTTACTCCTCCGCTCTTTTTCAGCCGACAATTTTTGAATCGGCCAGATTCTGCCGGAACTAGAACATGCATGGAGGTGTTGTTGTTGGATTTTTCGATCGGAGCCAAAGGAAAGAGTTGTTAGAGGCAGAGATGGCGGGCCTGGATCTGAACCCGCCGCGGAGGAGCTACTTCGCCAAAGGCTGCCGCTTCGACACCCTCTGCTTCTCTTCCTCCAAGCAAAGTCGTGGCTAGATCTCGCCAAGGTCGGGATTGGGGAGATAGGGTCGGCGACGCTCAGGTTGGGGCGCTAGGTTAGAAGGATGAGAATCGAGAAGAAGTTGGTGTTCTTCCATCTCTGGGTCGGCAAAAATTGAGATAAGGAGGTTGAATTGGGAATTTGGGATTTAGCTATTTAGGAATTAGGGATT